CATGGGTACCACTGCCTCCGCCAGAGTACCCTCCACCGCCACCTGATGCTCCATTATCCTCTGACCCCCCTCCCCCACCACCAAACCCTCCCACTGCTCCTGGGACTGGTCCCCCGTTGTACCCGCTGTTCATGCTGCCGGCTCGACCTCCAGTCCAGCCTTGACCACGTGACCCGCCTCTCTCTCCGTGTTCTTTCCCTGCCCTGGCACACCCCTGAGCATACCAACCTGCACCTATTCCCCCATGGTAATCACCACCTGCAGTGTTGCATTCACCTGGCTGCCCCCCAGTACCTCCATTTCGAACTCGGGATGAAACTTTCCCCACACTACTGGTGCCACTTGTTCCCGCTTGACCATCCACACCGTTATATCCACTTGAAGCTCCCCCTCCCCCTCCAGCGGCTAATAAAAGCACATTACTTGTAGTATAAACAAAACTCCCTCCCCCTCCTCCCGTACCAGCATTGTCCTCTACGGACAGTCCTAACTGAGCTGCTGTCTTGTTGGTGGTTTGCCCTCCTTTGACCTCCACTGAGTTTCCTCCTCTCTGTCCGACCACAATATTGAGCACTGTTCCTTTAGTCAGATTGAACTTGCCCTCAATGTACGCACCCCTGCCGCCACAGTAATTCCCAGGCTTGTATCCATAGTTGTATATGTGTGTTCCTCCCAGGGCGCCCCAAGCCCTGATAAGGTAGATAGCGGTTCTTGGAACCGTGAAGTTCTGAATAGTTCCAAACCGTCCACTACGTCCACGTGTTGTAAATGTTATAAGAACTACAAAGGAAAACAGCCGAGCTGTTTTAAAATAAATGATTTGAGGGTGGAAAGCAAATCTTATCCTTTTTAACCCCTGGGACTGAAGAATCCCAGCGGAATTCCGTATTAAAGGAGCTCAGTCACGGTTTGCACGTTTTGAAAAGTTTAGCCTAAATTTTTCAAATTCATCGTTTGCAATCCATGTCAATCTTCGCCATCCTTGACCATCCTTGTTCCCTTATGGTTTATTATTATCTCTTTGATGGTTTTCTGTCTTAGCAAACTATTGTTTTCAGTTTTCCTTCCATTTAAAGGAGATTTTGTACGTGGCCAGAAAAACAGAAAAAGAAAAAACATCGTGACTGAGCTCCTTTAACATTTATAGAACCAGTTATTTAGGTTCCTGGTGCTACCTGCTGCGGTCTCCACGGGCTTCAGTCCATATTTTACAACACCTTCTCAGCCTTCCCTTTTTTCCGAGATGTTAAGGTTTGTAATGCCATCTTCAGCTCTTACCTGTTTCGTTTTGTGTTCCATTGAAGCCTGGTGCATCGCTGAAGTTGCAGGTCCCATTGTTCATACAGGGACAACTTTCGCAGATATCTGTTGAAATTGAAAGGCCTTATTTGAGAACAATTCACAAGAGATTATAAAGCCCCCAATATGAAGTAAAAAGAATTGATTTTGGCTCTGGTTACCGGTTTCGCATCGTGTTCCATTAAAGCCTGGTGCACAGCTGCAGTTGAATCCGTTCACTCGGTCTGTACAGATTCCGTTGTTCTTACAGGGACGACTTGCGCAGTCATCGATATCTGTTTCAGAAGATAAGGTTGGGAAAAAAAAAAAAACATGATAGCTGTTGTTACATTTTGCGGAGCCAAGAGCAAAAATAACGTCAGCAGGTTCGATTTGAACCCCTTGAACGCATTCGCAATTTACAGTAACAATAAACAATTTACTATGTTACTAATTGCCCGAAACAGCCATAACAAACTTGAGACAGGAACGCTATCCAGTTGTGAAAAGAATTTGAAATACGAGAAGTAGATCAAATTGTTATATTAATTATTTTCCCTGTTTTTTATTACCATAATAGTTTGGGTGGATACCACAGAATTCCCAAAGTCAAGCTGATATCCATGTAATTTGCTAATCTCCTGTTTGTATCGAGCTCTTTTATGATCACAAAATCTGAAGAAAAATGAATTGGATTTGTTCGATCGTGTACATGTAATACGCCACTGACAGTTACCTGTTTCACATTGTGTTCCAGTAAATCCTGGTGCGCAGCTGCAGTTGAATCCGTTTACTCGGTCTGTGCAGATGCCTTTGTTCTTGCATGGATGGCTTGCGCATTCATCGATATCTGTTTTAGAGGATAAGATTAAAAGAAACAAAAAAATGCAATAGCTGGTGTTATACTTGACGGAGCCAGGGGCAAAATAACACCAGCAGGCTCTATATTTACTCGGCGAAAACATTTTCAATTAACAGTTATAATAATTTTAGGTCGTCCGCTATACTGTCCGCCTGAAATGACCACAATAACTAAGAGACAGGACAGCCATTCTTATAGAAAACAATATCATAACCAAAAGAGATTACCACCATTGGCGCCAGAAAGTTACTACTTGAAAACTTTCAGAATGTTATGTCTGTTTTAATATACTGACAGAAATAGGAAATATCTTCATAAGTTGTGCATCATTATCATGAATTCACTCAGGGGCACGCGACGGGTCTCCACTTTAAAATATCTGTTACACAGGTGATTTCTTACTGGCTGGGAAACTTATGGCCACTGGCCATCAGTTGCACCGAAAGAATGAGCCGGATTTTCTGTCAATTATTGTTCGAGAGATGATAGCAGACCAGAAACCAATTTTTGCATCTATCTGACAGTGCAATCTTTTTGCCTCAAGGCCTATGTTTGTGCTAGTGCTGTGGATTTTGCCATTTATGAAGGGATTTTTCCCTTTGAGATGTTTATAAGCCTAAACTAATGTTATTCCATGAAACCTGCTACATAGCATGAAAGATTCAAAAGTTTAAAAAAAAGAAAGCTGAACTCTGGTGCAGTCAAATAACTGACAACATTTTCCCCGATAATTTTAATTGACGAGATGATCGATCGTCCCAGTGTTAGCGTCGCCTTACCTGTTTGGCAAATACTTCCTGTGTATCCTTTCGCGCAAAGGCACACATAGCTGTTCTTCTCGTAAAATGATACGCAAGTCCCACCGTTCTGGCACGGTCCACTCATACATGGAGACTAAGAGATAAACTGATTTTTAGCAAATTGAAGGTAAGCTAAGCTAAGCTAAGCTCGGCAAAGCTAAGTCAAGCCCAATGATGAATAACGAGTCTACGGCGGACCCTCTCTATCAACGCAGAAGTTCCAAAGGCAGGAAACAAAAAGGTTTAAACTTTTCCCGCTGGGAGTGAATGCACTTAGATCGATATTAATTAACAATTATTCACCAAAGTGGAGGTGAATAGTGGTGGATAGTGGTTTAAATATCCATCACTTTCACCGACACTGAGGTGAATAATTGT